CTTCAGATTTTAACAGTGAGTAGTTTACCATATTCAGATCACTGTCATATTTAGCCAAATGGAGGCTCTTGGGCTCCTTCTCCTTCTTTTTTGTAATTACATTTCCAAATTCCTGGATCCTGGATCATATACTACTTTTAGCAGCCTGGAATGACTTACCAACCAGCATTTATTGATATATTATTGGAACCTGGTGAAGCTACTCTAAGACCCATGATAAAGCTTCCTGGGTCTGAGATCAGTGACTACATTTTTGGTGATACAAGAGTCAGGACAAAGTGTTTGCATTTCATACAGTTTGTCCCAAACTAACTGGGCTCTTAGCAGTCAGCCGGGACGCATATGTGTAGAGAAGTCAGATTGTGAACACTGATTGGATCTGCCTTCCATATGGAGTCAGATTATGAGGACCCAGTCACTGTCACTTAGAAAGACAGCCAAGAAACTGTCTATTTTAAGAAATCACTCAGCCATTGAAAATTGGTTCTCCCATAAATGGAATTTCAGGGAAGCATAGAGTGAACTATCTTTCTCAAGAGTGTCACAATGATTTATTGCATGCTGATATTTCATTCACACACATATAGATTGCATTCAGATAATGCATTAACTTTATTTTAAATTACAGATTGATAACATATAAGAAGCATCTCTGTCGTTGGCTTGATGTCTCAAAGCTATTTTTCCAAATATAAATAGGCATAATGTGGGAAATTTAGAAATGATCTTAAAAAGAAATCCAATATTTTATATTGATGAAGCAAAAAGAAAAAAAATTCAATTTATTGTTCTGAGAGATATACATTACATTTTTAAATTTCTGTTGTTTAATGTTTGACATTAGTGCCTTTTCATGTAAAAATGCAAATCTTATTTTTAAATCAAGTACAGTCAAAAGAAGAATTATAAAACAAAGTATTTTTCTATGAAACTATTTGAGGGACTGGTCCATTTCATTGAAGTTGTTGAATTTGTGTTTATAGTGTTATTGATAATATTTGATTATTTTTCAATGTCCACAGGATCAGTATTGATGTCCTCATTTTCCTTCCTGATATTGATCATTTGTCTTCTGGTTTTTTTGTTTGTTTGGGTTCACATAGCTAAAGTCTTATCAAACTATTGATCTTTTCAAATAACCAGCATTAGGTTTCATTGATTTACTCCACTGTTTTCCCATTTTCAATTATATTTCTGCCTTACTATTTCCTTTCTTCTGCTTGTTTTAGATTTAATGTGCATTTCTCTAGTTCCTTAAGGTGAAAACTTACATTATTAATTTTGGCAGGAAGGATGGGGGAAATATAAATACTCCATCTTATCTAGAACTGGGAAACTTACTTTTAATAGCTTTCATATATGAATAGAAATCTTTAGTACACTTTAATACAGTGGAACCTGCTTGTATTTTATAAAATACATGCATAATTATTGCTGATTATCTTAGTTTGAGTGTTTGCAAAAAAGAACATGATATAAGAGTTTTCAGATGAGTAGTTCACTTGTTAAGTGGTGAAATAAGGAGGAAAAGTCAAATAAGGAGTGTTATGAAATCACACACTAGTATGGGCAAGTGGTGCTTGATCCTTTGGGATGAAAGTTGTTATCATTTTCCTGTGGAGATGAATAACCACCACCTCTAAGACAGAACAGGTGCAGCATATTCAACATGGAACATAATAGCTGGATGATATCCTTGAAGGAAGGTGCAGAACTGAGGGCCCACAGTCGGGTGTTGCTCTTGGGTATTATACATTCAGCAGTGGCAACAACAGCTAGATCACCCTTGGCAAGAGAACCAGTACTGCTGATTTGATGCTTAGGCTCCATCCCTGCCACCACAACAGCTCATGCCCCTATAGTGCCAAAACAAAGATGATTGAGGAGAGAATCCACTTGGTTAAGTGCTTTCTCTACAGTCAGCCAATTCTTTATTTGCACTCCAATAATTCCATTAACATGCTCTTCTCCAAACTTGTTTATTTTCAACACTTCTTCCTAGGCCCTGATATACCAGCCAAATCATGCTCCACAGTTCAGGGGACCACCTCAAGATACTACACCTGCCACACAAACTGAAGGTCCAGGTACTGCTCACAGCTCTGCCAACTGGGAGTTTTCCCTTCAACACTCTTCTGAAGTGTGGCAGCTGTTCATTTACAGCTTTCATCAACATTTAATGCTGACAAATAGGTGACCCCTGACCCTATGAGGACTCTGGAGTGGTTTGAAGGAGGGGAATCACTGAAACAATTCTCAATGCTATGAGAGATTTATGCAATTTGCCTTCTTATGCTGGATCCTGAATGTAGCATTTCTATTACAGGCGAACTGCTCTTCAACCTGCCAGTCTTTATCACTTGGGGAATCTTACTATGTACAGCATGTGATGGCAGCACATGTCATATTGCACTTGCTGTCTCTTGGTTAGGCACTCATCTACTAAGCTCACTAGCACACAAGGACATGTTTTTTAGATGGCAAGTTTACTAGCACAGGAGGTGTGACTTTAGTTTCAGAATCCCAGGATTCTATGTAGCAATTCCTATGTAATGGCTTAATGGTGATTACATATATAGCACATCCTTATCCATCATTGATTTCTTAAGAATTAGCAGATATGCTGAGTCATGTGATCTGAGTAGTTGGGCAACTTGCCCTGCAGATCTGAAAACATGATTTTCCCCTGCAGTTAGTAGTTTGGTTTTCTTTTTGTACATAGAACTTTCTAGAACTCTAGCCCTGGAATACTACTATCTATAAGTCATTGCCACAGATTTCATAGGTTAAATTAGCTTGGCTGACTGAACTTCCTTCCGATTATGGTAATGATCCCCAATTTGTCCCTGAGTTTATGTGCTGCCACCAGGACCCTATCATTCTGGAATCCTATTATCTCCATTTTGCAACTACTTCCAACCATGGCTTGCAGAGAAAAGCCAATATGAATTTCTCAAAAATGTCAATGTTCCCCTTCACCAATGTATTTCTTATTATAGTCATGTCTTCTCTGTCCTCCCAGGGAAAATCATTCAGAAATAGTCCCTCTTGTCTCATGCAATCATAATTTCTAATACCCTGATTCCCTTTGACCATCTCACAAATGTCTGTGTTTTGGCAAACTAAGTTACAATCTCTCAATCTTATATATTATAGGCTGTTGTTGTCCAAGCTTGAAGATGGCACCCAGGCAGCATATTAAGGCAGCTTTAAGTTACTGAGCCCTGAGTTACAGGTGTGTGTACCAGTGTTAATAAGTTCTCCCCTATATTTAAATCTATCCCCTTCCTTTGCTTATTTAACATCCACAGAGGCCATTCCAACATTTATTATCCCAGGTCTTGATAGGACATTTTAGTCAGTTCCTACAGTTTCTTCTGGATTTTCCACCCGAACAGAGAATGTATTTTGTTCCTCATGCTGTCCTATTTTATCTTTGTCTCATGTTGGAAGTAATGAAAGTATCAGTGCTGGATGTAGAGTAAGACAAGAAATGTCTTCTGAGGTAATTGTTTTAGATGAGGTTATAGCCCTTGTCTCTAGGAACAGGGAGGCTACTATGCAAGAACCAGGATTGGAGGGGGGCTGCTTTTGTTAGGCTGAGGGTTCAGAAGATCACAGATACTTAAGATTCTTACACTCATTGCTATTCAAGCTTTCAGAGTTCTACTCTTATTAGTATGCATCTATTGATGTAGAACTGCGAATGTTATGGATGCAGTTTCTGTGTACCTCTGCCAACCTGACAACTACAATGTGGGTCTGATATTTACCAGTCTTCCCTATGACTGGCGAAGTTGAAGATCTCCTTAATACAATGGGATATGATGGACGACAGGTTGGACATTCTCATTAGGTGTGCCAACTATGTTAGGGACCAGATTAGGGGCCATCTGAGACACTGTCTTTTTTTTTTTTTTTTTTTTTTTTTATAGAGGCATGTTTTATTTATTTATTTATGTGTTTGTCTGTTTTGTTTATACATGCACTGGGTACAGTCAGAAGCGCGGGAGGGTGAGAGAATTCACCAGAGCCAGAGCGGGGAGCAGAGCAGGCAGAAGGATCGAAGTACACTGCTGAGGGGAGCAGCGGGCGGCAGGGGGGGTCTGCGCGCCATGTGGGACCCTCCTCCAGTGGCCGGGGAGCAGCCGGGGATCGAACCGGCACCGCAGAGGCCGCGGGCAGCTTCGCAACCCAGCGCTCAACTGCTGCGCCACTGGGGAGGCCCCTGAGACACTGTCTTAACAACGATTCAAGCTTAAAGGGATCAGACTCCACAGTGAATTGGAAGCCAGTCACCCACTCCCATACCCCAAATACCAGCTCCAACAAAGGTGTATGACTGAACCACATATTGCTCACTTTGATGTATAAAATATCAATGACACCCCCATAGGTATCAAGTGCTCTCTCCTTATCTCAAAACGTATACCCAGAAACTCACAAATATGGGGAAGCCTGAGGTTCTAGTTTTCAAATATAGGTAGTCCATGAGGTTAATACATACTTCTTACTAATATGAAGTAGTACATCCCAATCATTTTAGAAACTAGATTGTCATCTGACTTTACAATTGATCTTGTCACTTGGGTCAATCTTAAATTTGGCACCTTAAATCTATACTCAGAGCAGCTTTAAACCATGTATATATCGCATCGCTTGCTCTCCTGATTCACAACTGTCTGAATGAATGAATGAGGTATTAAAGAAAATATTAGATGTAAGGGGTAGAGGTGGCTCCACTGAGAAAATTGTAGGTGGGTATTAAAATCTTTGAAACAGAGAGGTACAACTTTATAAATACAGTGTTCCCCCAGGATATAAAGTTCACATATAGTGCAGTGATGGTCTCAGTTATCAAATGATCCTCAGGATTGTGAGGAAGCTATACCCTCAAGGAGTTTTTGGTCTTTGGCAGGGTTCAGAAAAGATTCTGTGCAATCTGAAATTTGCACAACTAGGAAAGCTTTCTTTTAAAATAATACAAAATCAATCATGAAAGTGTTTATTTAGATAAATGTATAACAAGCATTAAAATGACTACAGCAAGCAAAAATTTCAAGCAAATTATATATATAGGTGTATATATAATCAGCCTTTAGAAATCCCACTTATGTAGCTGTAATCTGAAATTTGATGAAGTGAACATCCAAGGTCAAAGATACAACGGTTTTATTGCAAATCAGGACATCAACTTTTGCAAATTTTGCACAAACATGTTGGCCATATGACAAAATAACAAAAGCTCAAAGTCAAAGTTGTTGCACTCTAAAATTAAAAAGGCAGACAGATTCATGTTAAGCCTTTAACATTTATTTTTATGTCAAGTTTTTAAAATAAAGCAGCTCTCCTAACATTTTCACTAAAGTTTCAAGGTAGAATAAACAAATAGTTGGCTTTCAGACTTTAACTTTTAATGGTGTATTTTTAAACATATTCGGAAAATAGTCCTATAAGCCAATGCAGGCTCTTTCTATGGCCCATTTCCAAATCCCCAGGTTCTGGTCCATCTACTTCTTTAGTAGCCTGGAATGAATTATCAGTTGGCATTTATACTATTAGAACCAACTGAAACTATTCTATGAGTAAGTCCATGATCAAGATTGTGTGGTTTGAGACAAATGACTATGTATCTCGTATCTGGAAATACAAGACTCAGAACAAAGTGCTTGCATATTCTATGTTTATATCAAACTACACGGGCTCTTAGCAGTCAGTCTGGACTCATACATTTAGAGTAACCAGACTATGAATACAGTGATTCTAGCTGCCTTCCACATGTGGTCAGACAGCTATATTAAGATGGTCAGTCACTGCTAGTTATGAAGACAACCAAAAAAGTCTGTCTTTTTAAGGAACCACTCAGCTATTGAATATAGACACTCCCATATGGGTAATTTCAGGGATGTGTAGAAAGGACAATCCTGTTCAAGGCTGCCAAAATGATTTTCTGCATGCACAGATGTTATTCACATATACGTGTGTGTTAAACTGCATGCAAGTGATCTATTTATTTCTGAATTTCAGATTGTTTTCTTGCAAAAGCAATTGCAGTTAGTTATAATATATAGCAAAGCATCTCTATCTTTGGTTCTATGTCTCAGATATTTTTTCCAAAAATAAATAAGCATGGCAGAAAAAATAATCAACTATCTTAAGACAAAACCCAATACTTTATAAAAATTAAGCAAAAAATATATAATTGATGATTTTAGATTTTTTCTAATTATCTTGCTTACTATCTAATACCAGTGCAATTTTTAAATTGAAATGATTGTGCACACTGTATTTAACTATACAGCATAGATGTAAAAATATCAAAAAAAATTACTTTCCTTTAAAAATCAGTTAGCAATTATGCATTCTACAAATGTATGGGAAAGTAGAGTCGCTGAATTATGTTAATAAAATTGACTTGAAGAAGCATAAAAAAAGAAGATGTAGTAATATATTATATTAGCACAGATTTTAGAGGTCGCCAAAAAAGTAAACACAGTACCAAAAGTCTCTTGTTTATGGAAAATATTTATATGTTGGAATTGTTCAGAGATTTTTTTAAAACTAACATCTATGAAAGCTGTTATGGTTGGGACACTTTGGAGACTTTAATGAGTTTCATTTGTTAATGGTTTCCGTCTCTTTTCAAATATGATTTTTGCATCAAATAATTCCCTTTCCCTGTAGCCTAGAGATGGTCCTTTTAGATACTTTGCTTCAGCTGCCTTGTAATCTAATCCATCAACCGCAGAAATCGAACAGATGATAGCTTCGGGCAGTAGAACTTCCAAAATAAATTTTATTTTGTCATCTTTTATCAGAGTCAGCATTCTTTCATCTATTTGTTTGTAGATTTCTTGTAAGTATTTCACTACCTCATCTAGCTGATCTTCATCCTCAAAGTATGTTTCAATACAGGGAGTGAACCTATTTGCGTTCAAAAATGATTTCAGCCACCTTGACCCTTTTGTGCCTTTTAAAATGGCTAGGAGATGATTCTCCGTTCCCTTTGCATTTACAATAAAGTCCACTAGGTTCTTATTGGCTCGGTCCCGAGCAGCCTTCATTCGATCGGGAAGAATTTTCTGGAACGACATTTTCTTGGTTTGCGAAGTTACAACCATTGACTCCCCAGTATCTTCATTTTGGAGCTTTGGAAATTTGTTCCTGAAGGTATCTTGTTTGATTACTTTCCGAATCGGGTAACTAATGTCAGCAGCATAATACTCAAGAAAGGAGCCAGAAAAGGAACCACAACCTATTCTAACTCTGTAGTCACAAATCAGCGAGATACACCAGTCAATACTGTCGCTGTACTCCTCCCTGGCTTTATCGACAAGCGTTTGTTTTTCATTACAATCAAATTTCTTTAATCTTCTAAAAGGCACTCTAATGCCTCTTTTGTCAGGGTTCATATTCGCCTCAACAAAAAGCACACTTGCTTTTCTCTCTTTTCTCCTGATGCTTTTGACCACTGCTGGCCAAAATGGATATTTTTGGTATTTAAACCAAACTATCATTCCTGTTTCAAATGAACGTGTCTCATAATGAAATATGACGCGTGGGAGTTCTTCATCTTCCTCATTGTCATCTAATATGGAAGCATCAATAGAATTTTGATGCACTGACTTATCAGAAGCTTGAAGTTCTTCCTCAAGATCCTCAAAGTCCAGTCTCCCAAGATTTCTTTCATTATTCACAAGAAGGAGTGAATAATCTAGAACACTGTTAGAGGCACTTAATGAAAACTGACACTCCCATGAACAAGGCCTGGGAGATGCCGCAGCTCCTGTCTCTGATTCCACAGGAGGTTGATCCTGACTGGCATCTGGGCATGGATTTGAGGGACCTTCCCCAGGATCATCAATATTCTCTGACAAGGGTGTGCATTCGGAGGAAATTGCTGGGGTCTCGGAAGAGATGTCCTGTGTCTCCTCTTTCAAAGATTTGAGCTCACTGAAGCTATCTGGTGGTGAATTTGGATCAAACTTTTCATCTTTAACACATTCACCCTCCTCTTTGATTGTGGAATGTAAGCATAGGACTATAGGGATGTCGAATTTTTTCTTCTTCTCCTTCTCATCATCATCATCATCGTCTGAAAGGGAAGGGAAAGTCTCACACCAGTTAGAGTTTTCAGGTATCTTTGTTTCCGTTTCATTTGGAGAAGGCTCAGTGACTGAGGGCACCTGTGATTTGTCATCACATGGGGTAGTATCACTCTCTGAAGGTACTAGCAGAGAGGGTGGACTTTCGCTTTCATCAACACACTCTACTAAGTCTCCTTCTTGCCTCCGGCACTTTTTACGAGGGGGTGAATCAGAAAGCTTTTGTGGTCCATCCTCAGATTGTATAGTGGTTTCTTCTTCATCGGAACTGCTTGCTTGATTGAGGTTGGTTCTTTCATTCAAAATAGTCAGTGCTGCTTTTAGTGATCTTTCATAAGCTCCTTCCTCTTTAGGCTCAGCACTGACCTCTGACTGTGCTGCTAGTGAGGAAACAATGGCGTCAATCTGAGGTTTACTTAGGACCTTTGTTTCTGTGCTCTCCACTTGAATTTTTTCATCCAGAGAGAGTATTTCAACTTCAAGGGAATATGTCTTTTTTCTCTTACTGTTTGATGAAGTCTCAGATCGAGATAAAACTTTTGCTGGCCATAACTGATCTTTCCAATTACATAGAACATACTCGGCATCCATTATGATTTAGATTTGTGCCAAGAGGTTATCAGAGAATGAGGTGTTTGGCTATTCTGGTCACTACTAAGGCAGTCCCAACTAAAACAACACTCTTACCAAAGTCTCTTTTGTCTTAGAGCTATAAAAGAATTCACAGTTTATATGAACTGTTCTCCTCCAGCTGTATTTCCAAAGAATGCTCGAACACGTCGTTTAAATGGGACAATGGTGGAAGATACTGAAATGGGAGGAGGAAAAGAAAAAAAGTATCAGCACATGAAATGATTCTGTCCAAGCAGAATGTGAGAATTGCAAACAGAGAAGAGATAATGAAAAAACAATTCTCAGTGGCACATCAGAGTAGGAGAATGTAGCGTAATGTCAGGTGGGGCATAAGAACTAGAGAAGTAGTTTTGTAATCCCTCAAATTCAAGAACTCGCCCTTATTGCTGCACATGTGTGTTAAGCAGTGAATGTGTGTGTGTGACAGCAGAGGTGATACAGATTGTGTGGTATGTCAGGGACTCTATGTTATTAGATACATCGCTACCTTTGTACCTCTGCTATTATACTTGGGGCCGTGGGAAGCTAAACTTTGCATGTATCAGAATCATCTGGAAGACTTGTTCAAAGTAGGTTTCTAGGCTGTATCCCGACAATTTTATTCAGAAGGTCTGAAAAGGGTCCATTATTTTGTATTTTGAACAAATTCTCAAGTGATTTTGATGCTTTTTTCCCCAGAACTCTTTGAGAAGCACTATTCTAGATGAACACAGTTTTCTACTTTCAAAGCTGTAAATGCTTCCCTGTTCATCCAAAGCAGGTAGACAATCAGAATAGAGTCCGTACCTCCTGGACCCAGAGAACACAGTGATCTCGTTAAAAGCCTGAGTTTAGAAAGCAGATTTGGAGTGACTGCTATGTTCACTCATTGGACCAGATAGTTCTCAAGAGTATCTTGAGTGTCAAGTGACTGGCTAGGACCTCAACTAGAAAGCTGAACAATCTCCTGTATGATTTATTCTTGAGATTTTTAGCCCAAACTAGAAGCTGTGACTTCTAATTACAAAACTATTATGGCTACAGAGAAATATGAATTACTTACACCTCAAATTTTACCCTAACGTGATTTTAGAATGAAATGTGACTTTTTATTGAAATTGCTACAACTACAGAGCAGGAAGCAAAATAAATTTTGCCACAACTCAATATGTTTTTAATGTGAAATATTTTGTGAAATGGGAAGCCTTACCCAATGTCGTATGGATTGTGGAGGATCTGGCCCTGTGATCCAGATGTCCTGATTCTCACGGGCTATCCAAAAGGAGACAGGGAATCCAATTAATTAACTAGAAATGGTGTAAACTTTAGCAGCACATCATCCTGAAGCACAGCAGTGAATCGAAATCTCATCTCTGATGTAGATACGACGTTTATTTTCCTTCTTCTTATTTATTCTAAATACTCTGTGATAGTTACGCTATATGGCTCATGCTGAAATTATCTCTCTCAGGAAAAGTGTGAGGTAGAAACAAGAAAGAAGGGAAATAACAATTACCCTGTGTCTACCATGAGCTAGATTATAGATCTTGTTTAAATCCTCACATTAATCATCATGTGGATTTTTCCATCTTTACATATATATAATTTCTCCCGCAGAGTTTTAATCACACTGTACATGCTATATCAGAGTCTACTAATACAAAATATGTTTGTTTTACTGCGTTGTTTGCCTACTTCATAAAAATGGTTGCATGGAGAAAATTTAGGAAACCTGGCAGGTGCCATCTTGTGACCAGAATCAGAATGGCAGCCTCCTCAGGAAGTACAGATAGGGCCTCAGTCACTATCAGCTCCTTCTAATCAGAAAAGAGGGAACTACAATTAACCAACCTGAAGCCTTCCCAGGCTTCTGGAATTTTCTATACTAAACTCAAGGTTTTTGTTACATAGGCTTATAATGCCATCAACTATAACGCTTCTTGTTATAAATACATCCAGAAGCTTATTAAAAATTGAAAAGATGCAGACAGATATATGTCAAACAAAGTGTAACTTTACACACATTATCACTACAAATATTTTCTCTTTCCAGGATTTTTTTGTATGTACAGATCAATACATATCATTTCAAACCAACATCAGATTGCAATTAAGAGCATAGCCTGAACATCAATCCACTATACAAATAAGTATTTTCCATATGATTTTTTATGAAATACTTTAAATGGGGTTTTTCCCCACATTTGCAACATTTTATCTTAATGTTTTCCCTGATGATGTCAAACAAGCAAATGAATTGAGTATATATTAACAAAATTTTTATCAGAGAGCAATAAATCCACACAGATAAGCCTATTGACAGTGTGACAGATATGTTTCCAGCATTTAGTTGCTTGTATTATAGTAGCCTACATGTGTTTTACTAACATGGACATTTATCTTTAAGTGAGATCATATGACAAATGCTATGCTTTCTTCACTTTATAGTACTATTCAGACATTTCAAATAATGACATATAGAGATTCACATTTTTATCCTCCAGGTACATGGTATTCTATTGCACATTTGTTCCATATAATATCTTTAAAAATGCTTATAGAAGTAAACCAAATCCTGTCTCTGTCTCACTCTCTTAAACTTAAAAGGAATAGAGAAATGGTCCTTACTGACCACAGCTATACCTGTGATCTGAAGGAGTTACAAGAGGACACACGGAAGGCTACAGCCACCACAGCAACAGGCTACGTGCTTGATCAGACCAGGAAAATTTCCACTATCAGTAAAAGACAAAGGGGGTGGGTTTGCATGTCTGTGTGCGTCTGTAAACACTTATGTGTTTGAGACAAAATGGGTATGTTGTTTCAGCTTAATTTTCTTTCTCATTATAAAAATAAGCCTAGACAAATCTACTAAAGATGCTGAAACAGGCTAAATTAAAACCTGACCATCCAGAAATGCTGACTAACATGGGAGTTTGGTTTTCCCGGATTTTTTTCTAATCACACATGTATACATGTGTATATGTGCACAAATACCTTCATTTAAGTCATATTTGTTCCCTTTCCATGTTCATGTATATGTGGCACATACAGTTTCAATGTGTCAATCAATTCACAGGAGAATTTCCCCCCATGCTGTCAAATATTTTCATCAGTCATTTGTCTGTGTAAATTAATAAATGCTAAAAAATTCAAATAGTAACAGAATGTCTGGCAATATAATCATGGAATGCCAAGAGAATAAATTAGCATAAGTGGCCATGCTGTACTTAAGTCTTAATATAGAGGCTGTAATCTGACCACTACTTCTCTCACTGTACACTTTTAAAGCATTGGGACATACAAAAACCCCCAAAATAGATACATTTGACATGCCAGCAATTCTCTCAAAGCCACACACACACACACACGTCCCACCACTCCAAGATCACCGTCCCTATTTTTCTCACCTTTATTTACTCTAGGGCCCTCAGAAATCCCTACAAAATAACTAGATTTGACACAGCCATTACCTTGAAGCTTCTTGTCAGCTGCAGCCTGGTGAAATGCAGCTCCTCCCCCAAGGCTGGCCAGGCTCAGCTCTCCAGAGCTTCCAGAGGATGCTCCGCCCCCTCCTGTGATGATGAAGACAGATGGCCCGTCTGAATTACAGGAGGGAGAATTGCCAAGTTAAACTGCTGAAGTGTAACAGGGTAGAAATGTTCCTTTTTAAAGAACTTTGAAGTAAAATGGCAACAAGTGTCTGATTTCCATTCAAACCTTTAGGGTATGTGATTTCTTGATAAGAGGTAGCAAATCACTTTATTAAAAAATTAAAATCTAGCTTGAAGTATTCTTTAGGTCTTTTTTTCTTTGCCTTCTTTGGCATCTTCCTTCTGCAGGCAAATTTCAAATGCAGCTGGGTCAAGCTGCGTTAAAATAGCTTACACAGGATCTTGATTCCGAGTCTGCTACTTATACTAAGGGCGAATGGTATTTTTTCCTACTGAGAATGCATCTTTGTATCTCTTTTAGTTTCCAGGACCTGGCACACCTTTCCTGTGTTCAGCTCTTCTAAAAGCTTCAGGAAAGTTTCAGAGATCTAGTCACAGACATGAATATTTTTGACGAGGGTCTGAAAAAATCACCGCTTTGGCAGGAAAGTACTTATTTCATGTACCCTCATCAACAGCTGGCAATTCCTTCTTATTATGTTGGTATTTTTCAGGAAGGCAATTCAGTGTGGATACATTAATTTAAAAAAATCTACATCTTCATTTATTTGTATGCTTAAAATACAAGTTCAAATTTTGTTCATTACAATTCTCCTGTGTTAAATTTAAATTTAGCTTTATGCTTTAACTTGAAAATCAAATTTTAAGTATTGTTAGTGATAATTTTGGAAAAGAAGCTATCTGGGTGTGAAGTATTTTACTTGACCTTTGTACTGGTTTCCCCACTATCTAAAAGTAGAGCCTTTCTATGAGACCTTTCATAAGCTGAAATGGCATAAATTGAAGAAGCAATTACCATCAATTTATGCAAAAAATTATTTAAGCATTCCCAGACCCAAAAATAATCTACCAAATCACTCTAAATAACACATAAAACCTAAAAGCCAGAGTGATATGATAAATACAAAGCCTGTACAACGTGTATGGAAAGAGCTTGGTGGTGCCACTCTTGCTGCTTGGGACACAATGCTACCTCTAGAACAGCTGCTGTAAAACAAATGCTCAATGCTCTGTTCCCTTTTCATCATAAAAGCCAAAGTCCTCTTGAGATTCCAGTTAGCAAAAACAGATGTAGGTTTTTTATAAAAGCAAAGTGGAGTAACATGAACTTTTGAAAAGCGTGGATACCTGTATAATAGGTAATGCATGTATACAGATAAATTGCAAACATCCATCTTTTTACACAGGCACTAATATTGGAGCAATAAATAAATACACTGGGACAATAAATTCATTACTGCAGATCATCTCTTGGCTGGTATATTTGAGTATTACTGAGGGCTCTAATAATTAGAGTATGTAATGTTTTGTGCCCCAAACAAAAAAAAAAAGTTTATTTTGTGAAAGAAACAATGTAGGACATCAATGGTCCAGAGAGAGGCAAGGTTGTTCTCATTTAAGGCAGCCATTTAAGGACTCAAACTTCTTCTATCCTATGGGTCCACCATCTTCCTTGGTATTGCATTCTTTGCAATTTGGCTACCAATCAATCTTTTGCGGGTTGGGATTAGGGAATCCTGTGGAAGGTTTTAGGAGCCAGGTCTGATAAATATCACTGCTAATCACAGTCTATTAGTTAAACCTGTAATAGAGGCTGAGAAGGTAGTCCCTGTGGCCCAGGAGGAAAATGAAACAGAGTGACTGTCACCGTTTTTTTTTTTTTTTTTTTTTTTTTTAGCCACAGGAAGTTCCCCTTTTGATTTTTTAAAAACTTGTTACTTTTAATGGCTTTCTTTGTTTTTTACAGCCATGTATAATATCAATAAGGACTTGGACAGAAATTTTTAGTGTCCCAACCTATATCCACTCTCTGCATTTTTCTTCATTAGCAGAACTCATTTCATTCAGGCTAGCAGTGTAAACCCTTAAAATAGTATTCCCTCCCTCCAACTCCCTTACTGTAAGCTATGGACATATGATGGCATTTCTGGTCAAAGAATGTGAAGATTCTAAAGAAGGTATCTCCAAAGAGGGTTAAGTCAAGAGTGGACTGTTTGTGTTTCACTTTCACTCTTAGTTGCCTCCTAGAATTTCACCAGGATAGACAGAATTTGGACAGTTATTCTGGACCAAAAAATGACTTAGAGAAAGGTTGCAACTCTCTAGGGACAGAAGATCCTGAACCCCTGAACATGGGACCACCTCACTTTGACTTAGTGGAACAATACACTTCTGTGTTACCTAAATCACTGCATTTTCCACTCTCTAGTAGCAGAGCAAATAGATGAAACCACAATCACCAACAAAAATAACATCATTCTTATTATAGAACTGATCTTTTCATAGTTGCCAAATTAGTACTATGTAATTTAAAGAAAATCAGACCCGTGTAAATATGACCTTATTTAAATGAAGACATACATTCAATTACATATTTTACAATATAGCATTTCTCATTCTTCTCATTTCACATTTGAAAACACCAAATGCACAAATATGGTCATTACATTAAAAACTATACTTGTTTGTATTTATTTTGCCTGTTTTCTATATTGCACAGAGATCAGGAAATGCTATCCCACACCCATTTGCCAAATAAAATGCAAAAGAAAAAGTTAATTACTTGGACAATATTTTGTATTTCACTCTTTTGTAGAAGGAGGGGGGAAAGAATAAAAACTAATAATAGTGAATGCTATGACTATTAGTATAATGATGATAGGTAGCAATTACACAGTAATACATAAGGCCTATGAAAGTTTTCTACGTAACAGGCACTGTTTCTAGCACTTGAAATACTCTCTCATTTAATAATCAGATGGTTATTTCATGTAGGGGAGTATCATGAGTGCTTCATTCATATAACAGTGATATTATTAATAATAATGACAAAGATGATAGAAGCTTTAAGTGTTTTCTACCAGTACTCTGCCAAATGTTCTGTATAGGCAGTTTCCCTTAATTCTCACAGTATCTTGCTTGGTGTGTATATGACTGTTCCCATTTTGTAGATGAGGCATAAGAAAGGTTCGTGAACATCTGCAAGTCTATATAGAGCATTTGGCACATGTGATTTGAACCCAGGTACTGTGACTCCAGAGTCCATGCTTTTAATAACGATGATAGGTGTATCACCAAGATACACTGTACCTAACTCATTGCTGATGAAAAATGCTCTACAAGTTTGTGCTGAATGAATAGGTGAATTTATCAACAAATTTGAAGTAGTTCTATACTGGCAATCACTGGATCTTAAAAGGGAGGTCTGTACCTGAGTCTGCATCTAATTTGTCACCTATAACATAATGTAATCATGGGAATGAGTGACATCCATCACTTTTGCCAAATTCTGTGAGTGGAATCACAGGTTCTGCCCACACTTAAGGAAATGGAATTATATAAGGGTGTGGATCATGAAGAAAAAAAAGTCTATGTCCACCGCAGTACTGTATGACCCCAATTATATGACATTTAAAAAAAGACCAGTCATTGGTTGCCAGGGGTTACAGGCAGGGGAAGGATGTGACCTTGAAGGAAAATCACAAGGAAAGTGTGGTGGTGATGAAATTCTTGCATATTCTGACTGTGGTTTTAATATACTTTTTTTTTTTTTAAATAGAGGCATGTTTTTTATTTATTTATTTGTTTGTTTGTTTGCTTGTTTTCTTTATACATGCACTGGGTACAGTCAGAAGCACGGGAGGGTGAGAGAATTCACCAGAGCCAGAGCGGGGAGCAGAGCAGGCAGAATGACGAAGTACACTGCTGAGGGGAGCAGCGGGCGGCAGGAGAGGTCTGCGCGCCATGTGGGACCCTCCTCTGGTGGCCGGGGAGCAGCCGGGGATCGAACTGGTGCCGCAGAGGCCGCGGGCAGCTTCGCAACCCAGCGCTCAACCGCTGCGCCACCGGGGAGGCCCTGACTGTGGTTTTGATTATATGAATCTATGCATGTGTAAAATCCAAAGACATATATACTAAAAGTCTTGCATTGTAGATGATACTTCAAAGTATGATTTTAAAGTATGATAAAAATAAGAATTCAAATGGAAAAATATAGCCATTATATAAAAATCAACTTGTTTACAAGTATGCTTTATAAACCATTTCCTTCTCCCTAAAACATAGTAATAACAACAAAAACAAAATAACACCCTACACACAGTATTAGATGACACCAGTTCCACTTAGTAGATATAAAAAGCCATAAGAGAATGTCATCCGTATCCTAACAGTGCTAAAAATCTGGATAACCTGCAAAATTATAACCTGCCTTCAGTCCATCAAACAACTGAGATAAACTGCATGCTAATGGGTGACTGGCCCCTTAAAGATGGATATATGCAACCACTACCTTGTCTTTTTGAAAATGTCATATAATTGGAGTCATACAGTACTGATGTGGACACAGACTTTTTTTTTTTTTTTTTTTTGGCGAAGCATGGAGAAGTGGCTGTTGTGCAAGCAGGGAGAAATCAGTGAAAATTTTAACGATTTCTTAAATTCTTAATGTGCTAGTGTGTCAATAGTTTGGAATATCTGGAGCCCAGATAGTTACACACTCACTGGCAAGTTATTTTTTTTTACAGTCCTTAACCAGAAGCATGCGAATATAAGTGGGCACAAAGCAGGCAACCAAAAAGATCCCACATCTGGGCCTCCTTGGTGGTGCAAGGGGTTAAGGCGCAACCTGTGAAGCTATTTGCAGCCACTGCAGCACGAGTTCGATCCCTGGCCAGGGAGCTACCCACATGGTGCAGCAGACCTCTCCTGACTCTCTCACTGCTCCCCTCAGCAGTGTATTTCAGTCAGTCTGCCTGTTCTGTTCCCTGCTCTGTCTCTGGTGAATCCTCTCACCCCCAACACCTCTGGCTTGTACCCCAGTTCTTGTATGTTTAAATAAATAAATCTTCAAAAAAAAAAAACCCAAAAACCAACAACAAAAGGATCCCACATCAGTGCGGAGTGGCTCAGGTATACAGGAGACAGAC